TACTTATCATACCAATTGCTTGAGAAACGAATCTTACCTTTTATAATATTATAAAAACATTAACACCATCACCACAGAAATCTTCTCTGAATATTGCGATCAATGAGTACTACTTATATATGTGAATCCATTCATCAGATTGGAAATCCTAAGAAAATGATTGATTTTAAACTGATCGTATTTTCATTTTATTATTAAATCTGATAAATCAAATTAACATACGAATACGAATGTCTCAAAAATTCTATTATCATTCTATGCTCTAATTTGCAATTAGTCTTTTTTAACAATTACAAGACATTTATGATGAAGAAAATTTAGACTTAAAAATTTTTATGTTACTTTTAAATCAAATTAATTTTCTTATACCAGTTCTAATTATTGAGCATTTTATTAAATCATCTAAGCTAAATTATTTAGGAAAGATATTTATTAAAGTATCTTTTAAAAGTATGAAATTTTAAGTTTTTATTAATACGAACTTTCTCCAATTGATTAGTAATCTTTAGTTAAATCAATATATTTCTGTATTCGATTTGAGAATTAATCAACAAGAATACAATTAATTTTAAAAATACATCTTCAGAAAAGTACTAACATTAAAGTATTCATGAAAAAATTTATAGCATTTTACTATAAAAATTTTATTCTGAGTTTTAAATGAAAACCTTGAAATTAGAACTAAAGAAATTAATAATAGTTTCAAAATGAATGTTCTAATGGCTATCTTATCAATTAAAATTCAAAGTAACATATAAGAAGTGCATAGCATATTTTAATTATTTACAGTTCATAATTAAATATTTTGCTTCAACACTTTAGGCTTGAGATTAATATATTATTTGTATTTTAGTATACATGTCATTTATATGGAATGAAATAGATAAGGAAATATTGTAAAGAATTTCTCAAATTTATTTTGCTAAAAATATTATGCACACTGAATTCATTTTATTAAATCATCTAATTCTACTATTTATATTCATTAATAATGATAGTACTATTATTTTATTCTGTTCAACTTATCAAACTCTAATTTATTAGTTTGATGCAAATTCTCACATAAGAGATGCAAATTTCTTAGAGATAATTTTATATTTTAGAATGGTCCGCTTCAGATATAATATCAATTTTTATACTTGTGGAGGGATTGTTTATTTTGGATAAACTAATTATTTTACTACTCATGAGATTATAATAAAATAAATACATCCACTTTATAGCATAATATTTTTAGATCTAGAAGCTCATGTTACTGTGCTTGCAATATTTATTAGGTAATTATACTTTTGAATTCCATAAGTATTTATAACAGTAATTACTATGATATTTTTTTGGAAAACTTACGAATGCCATAGGAAATAATCTACACTAATCATTGTACTTGACAAAAATTTTTTGTATTAGCACTAAACTAAGAAAAACTAAGAAACATAAACGAAGATCTGTTTGATTTATCTGGAATTCAATGAAGGAGGTTTGGTAAAGTTTAAATTAAGTATCACTAAATGTTAATATAAATGCAATGGATGAAAGAATTATCAAAATATTTGTTTATTATGGAAGTTAAATTAAAGCTCATTCTATTAGAAATGTATCACAAATTCTGATGGACTTTTGGACCATTTTATATTTAAGTCTGATATAAATTGTGGAAACTGCCAATCGCTAAGATATACTGAAAATTAATTATTCTACTCAATTAACTACTCATTAAGATTTATTAATAATTTTTTTGAAATAAAGTATTAATAATATTTTAGTAGATTGCTTAAATGGAAAGTTAACAATTAGAATAATTAATAAATAGAAATATTAATAAGAAATCACCATGATCCTATGTTAATGCTAAATATAAAAAGCCAATCAGCTTCAGTTATGTTAGAGATTTTGAAGTATTTTAAACTTAATTGGAAATGAAATACTCAAATGCTTGATATATATTTGTATTATGAATTTATGATTAAATTAATAATTATAAATAAAAATTTTCAAATTAACAATTAAATTAATATCCAATCCACAGCTTACAGAAATAGAAGAACTTGTTTTTTATGAGATTGAGGATTATTTTAGATATTTACAGATAAAAGGAAATTGATAAGGTCAGTATAATGTATTTGCAACTAAATAAGGACTTTTATTAATATTTATATTTACTTTGTCTAATGTTATATTTGTAATAAATATTTAATAATGAATAATAAAAAGGGATTATTAGGATGAAGAATAAGGTAGAAATATTTTATAAATATTTATCAGCATAAAGTTGTAATCTAGAAATATGGTCTTCATATGACTATTGTCACCGTGTATGAAAGATGATATAAGGGTATTGGGCCACACATAAGGTAGAAATTATATTAATGAGGAGATGATGTATTTTGGGTAATTACAGCAATTTATATGAGTCTATTTTTATTGAGATTGTTCTTCCTTCTATTTGTAAAATATATAAATTAAAATTTGTTATTAGATATTGGTTGGGTGAGTAATTTTCAGAACTAGCAAAGGAGCAGCATTGAGTGCATTGTCATTAGAAAGGTTATTTTAATTATTATTTTTGTACAGCAGGAAGTATATTAATAGTAGTAAGATTGGTGAGTACAATTCCAGCATCAAGGATCACAATTAACATTGCCATTTATAACAAATCCATCTTAACATAGTTATCAAATTTAATAAAGTCTTTGCATAATTTTTGCACGAGTAACATCATTAGATATTTAATTGCCATCATCGTATTCTTCTTAAATTGAATGTTTCCATCACCATAAATTAGATGACAAATTTCTAAAAATCGTCCTAAATCCAACCTTCTTAACACACCAGACATTTATCCTCAATCAACTCCAAATACCTTCATTCAAATCGTTAATACTCTTTTTGTGCTAAGTCTAAAATACTTCAAAATCTCTTATTTCACTAGAAGATCTAGTTGGTTGGGTTTTAATATTCAGTTATAAAGAAGTTCAAGATGATTGCTTATTAATATTTTGACTTATTTTAGAACAAATAGTTATTTCCACAACTCTCAATTTATTCATTATAATTAATAGAACTAATTATAATAGTCTACTCTAATATTAAGAGAAGAGATGTTTTGCAAGACCTTTTTAGTAAATCTTAAGGTGGAAATAATTGAGTAGAATATTTTATTTCCTTAAATTATTACTGTTTTCACAAAAGAAGTAAGTTTAATAATAAGGTTTTAACTTAAACCAATTAATTAGAATTTGTTGATGAGTTAAATAGACTACAAAAATGAGAATGATAGCTCGTATGAAAATTAAATCAAAAGGCTATTAGGATATATATATTATATTTGAATTTACTAAAAATAAAAAAACCTAAATTTGAATAAAATTGCTTGGGCTAGAGACAATCAAATAAGAATGAAAAATTATACACTTAAATTTTCTTACTCTTTTTGGCTGTTTTTTATTTGGCAAAGTTAAATGATATATCTGATTGTTATAAGTTATTATTATTTGCTTTAGAAAACACATAAAATGAGATTAAGAAAATTTTGCAATTAATTTGAATTTATTACATTCTATCAAGCAAACTCTATAAAATATCTTTCTATAGACTTTAACTACTTTTTAATAAACTTTATATCTAATTATCCTTTTCGTTTAACAAGTATTTTTATCTATCAAATTAAGTATATTTTTTGTAGAGGAATCTTTTTCTATTTGTTTTTTTCATCAACCATTTATTTTAATACTTATAAACTTGTTTTATAGTTTTGAAATTTCATCTTATTTATTTTATAATAATTTGAATTCTTCTGAGAATTTTTGCCTATCCTATATCTTACTACATGAAAGCTATCATTATTTCATATTTCAAATATTGTTCGTTTTGCTCAAATTTTAAATTACTTAATAAATCATTTACCAATTTTTTTACAATATCTTTCATTTTTCTTTTTAATTTACTAACAATTTTTATTTTATTTTCTATTCTTTTTTCAAATTCTCATATACCACTAAATAATCTTTTTCGAAATGTTTAGCATGAGAAATCTTGCAACATCTCAAACAATAATAGTCTAAATCCTTTAATTCTAACCATTTAATGTCTTCAAATATTGAAGATTTCTTTGTGCATTGTTCTTCGCAATAGCTGTATGGAAGTTTTTTATAAAAAATTAATTCAATTTTAAATGATTACAACTCGATTTCAATAATTTTAAATTCATTAATATCTGATTGTTTAAGATATTCTATTTTTTAATTGAGGTTATCAATTAAATTATTAATACTTGTTTTCATTTGTTCTTTTGTCATTTCCTGTTTCCCTTTTGCTTTTCGTGGAATCTTGCATTAAATATTGTGCTTTATTGATATTGGTAAACAATTTTTAACTTTATTGATCAACAAAAGTGAAGATATTTTTTATAAATCTGAAAGCATTTTTAAAATCTTTCCTAAATAGATCACTCCACATTTTATTCAATCTTTCCTTTTCATCTATATCATTTTATAAAATTTGAGTGTATTGATTATAATTATGAATAATTTCTAAGGAATCCCTTTATTTTAAATACAAAATTTCAATCTTTAAAACATAAATTTCTTAATCAATAACTTTTAAAAAGAGAATGAAACCTAGGACGATTTTTAAACAAAATATTTAAGTTAAGTATAGTAATAAAAATATTATAATCTTAAATTAGAATTAAATTAAATTTCTTTTTAATTTAAATTGGCATCTCCATTGAGTAGTTCTTCCAAAGAAATTTAAGTAATGTTATTTAAAAAAGCTCTTATTGTTGGCTTTTATAAATGCCTATTTTTAATTTAATTATTCTAGTAATTAATGATTTTAACTTTGCTTTAAAAATAAAACTTTCAATCTTTTTCTTACTTGATCATTTCCAAAATTTTCTGCAATTCAGCCTATATTATTTATTTTATAAATCAAGACTTAATGAAAAAATAAATTAATAATGCTGTTATATTAAATAAATTTTGTTTTTCTATTAAAAATACATACAATTCTGATCTGTTATAGTAATTAATTTAGCATGACGAATTAATATATTTTTAAAAATTAACAATTTATTTTTGAAACTATATTTTTTAAGATTTAATATCTTAATTTAAAGAATGAGATCCTAAATATTAATGCGAATCCAATTATGTGAGCATTCAAATATTTTTTATTGAGAAAAAGTCATTATAACTATATAAAGTAATATAATCTAAAGTATTTTTCTAAATTCATAAATATTCAGTTAATATACAAATAAAGCTTCTAAAGAATGGAATTATATTTTAAATGAGTTATTAGTAAGAGAATCGCTATTAGTTTAGATAGGACAAAATAAAATGGGAATGGATGAATAGTCGAATATTTAAATTTAATCAATCATATAGTTTTAATAAATAGAACAACTTTGAACTTTGGATAGATTATTATAATATTAATTTACAATATTAAAAATATAATTTCTATGTATTTACATTTGTTTTAAGAACATGTTTTTGCTCTTGTAATTGGAATGTAAATAAAAATATAAAATATTTTATTTTATTTTAATAGGAATAAATATAAAAATTAGAAGAGAGAATAAAATCCTGATTTAGATAACCATATAAATATTTATTTCTTTCAGTTCATATTCTCTTAATATCTTTATCATATAGATTCAGAATTCCTAAATATGCATCAAAACTTGAATCGTTTAGTTCATTTTTGATGAACAAAATATTTAAAGAATCATATAACTATGTAAAATAAATTACATGTACTAAAGAAAAAATAAATTTAGTTACATTGATGGATTTATGAAGAATCCCAAAGATTTTACATCCAAGCAATCATTAAAAACTGTCCTTTACACTCCACAAATACAATATGATATTAATAAATTTCAATTAAAAATTTAGAAGAGATTTCTATTAAATGATGTTTGGAAAGATATCTTGTCAATTATATAAATTACCTCAATATTGATTAATAACATAATTCAAATAAGTTGTGGATCATTCTCTGATGTGTTTCCTTTTGCTATTTATATTTACTAACAATCTACTTTTTTAGTTTAGAGAATCTCAAACGTAAAATCAGTTTGATAACTTCTTTAGATAACTTCGGAAGAAAGGAATTGGATAATAATTAAAGATTTATCCTTCTATCTGAATGGAGTTATATTCTAAGAAAGCTACTCCAAATCCATCCAATTGTTTATTTTATTAGAAAAAGGCAGACTCAATGGTAACATATAAGATTCATATAGGAAGGACCTTAGCTATGTTAAAATTCTCCTTTTTAGAAACACTATCATTGCAGAAGATGAATATAAAAATTCTTTTTATATAAATTTCAAAATTGAATTTTCTTAAATTGAAATATTTTAATAATTCGCCTATCTATTCATTCATTATTTATCTGAGTTATAATTTACCAATTCTTCTTTCTATTTTAATGTCTTAAAGATAAGGCTTATACATTATTTTCCTTGAGGGATTGTTCTCTTAAATCTTATTATTAAAATAATTAAAACATACATAAGAGCAGGATTATTTTCATATTCCTTCTTAAATAAGCAAAATAAAATATATCTGATTTCTTTAATCATTGTGTTATCCTCAATTCTAATGAATAAAGAATAGTATCAAAAATAAATAGCTTTTAATAGAGCTTTGTATTTAGTTTTCTTTAGTAACTTATTGTTTGTACTAAATGAAATTTATATAAATTTTATTTATTATTAATATTCTATTACACCAATCATATATTTTACCTCCCATTTCTCTACTATTCACTCTTTATAAAATTTACATTCCATGTAGTAATTGAATTATTTCCATTAATTTTAATTAACTATTTTTAGAAGATCATTGATTTATCCTCCAGAAATAAAGCAATCCATTTTTTTTCTATTCCCTAATCATTAAACATAATCAAATATACTTGAAATGATTTGATAATTGTAAACTTTAATAGTACTTTTCACGTTTGATATCAAAAATGATATATTGTTATTAAATACTATTAAATAAAATTAAATAATCTATTTATTGGATTCATCGATTGATTTAAATTTTTAATCAAATTATTTTAATATTAGAAAAACTTCTTTTCAGAAAAATCAGCATATAATTAGAAATTTCTTATAAATTTGCGCTTTCTTTTTATGATTTTATTACTAAGGATATTAACATAATAAATAATATTCATGAAAGGCCTAGATTAATCATTATTTTCGAAAGCATTTCTACCTATATTATATTTTTAAGAATTAAATTTTATTCTTTCCTACTACTCC